ATGGGGGCCATAAGGGTTAGAAGGGAGAAGATGAGAGTGAGGGGGAGTGCTTTGACGAAATCGAAATCAAAGTCAAACATAAGAGAATATCGGGTAGTGGGAGGCGGTTGCTAGAACTTGTTGTCTTTGGGTGTAGAAGATCCCGCACAACGTACAAGTCCTAATGGCTAGTTCGTGCTAAGGGGGGGGATGCAATGAATTACGCCCTGTCGCTAGATGAAACAGCCGACTGTGGCAGGAGCATGGTCCGATGCTTCGATGTAGCAGATGTAAGAGGATTTCCTACAAGCCTTGTTTGACAAGTTCGAAGGTAAGAACCTGGCTGGACGGACCTAGCACCTGGTGCTGAACGTTGAACGACAGAGGTGGACGAGTGTGGCAGAATTGAAGGCCACCATTGGCGAGCTACTCCATGTCAAGGAACGCTACTCCATGTCTAGGACCATGGAGTCAACCCCTCCCAAATCTTGACTCATTTCGCACTAGCACTACCTGAGCCCTTGAAGGCTCAACTGTATCGCAAGTCGCAGGAATGGGGAGACCTACTAGGCCCTTAGTAAGTACTACTTACAATAGGCCGGTTTCCTGCAACATGGCAACTTCCATTTTCATATGGACCTGTGGAGAGGTAAGAACTGGAAAGGGACAACTATCTTTGGGAATATACAAGGGGAGGATAGTCTCTTAGTTACCTTTGAGGAAGGGGGAGTAGATGAGCTCCACTCTAAGTAGATGGACTATGATTCGGAGGAAGAGGACGACTGAGTAGTTTAAGGATTATGCTGCCGCAGTTGCCCGTGTGGGAGGGCGAGGTAGAGGTGGCCGTGGTGGAGGAAGAGCCCATGCTGCTTCCAAGGAGAATGAAAGTTGTGAAGGCTTTCATGAGGGAGGTAGGGGTTATGGTTCCCCACAAAGGGCAGAGGCGGATACGTTCTCACCAACCCTGGGAATGTTGGTTACCGGGGTCCGAGTATGTACTTGACTAATCTAGGGAGGGAAGAAGGAGAGCCTTGGAAGGCGTTGAAGATTTTTGAACCATGTGGAGGAAGAGGAGAGAAGAGTGCGTGTGTTTTAAGTGCGGGGACTCATGCCACATCATTCGTTTTTGCCCCAAGCTATGCCAAGTTGCCAACCAAGAAAAGGAAATGGCTAGTAGGAGTGGCAAGTGCTCTTTCCGGGTGTGCAAATTTTGATAGACAGGTAGAAGCGCACGCCTGCAGGCCCCAAGAACGGAGGCTGATGTAGGCCCCCACCTAGATAGCTCTTTGGAGACCGTTTGTGCTAGGGTCTCTCTAGGTGGCTCCCTTGCAGGCGAAGGCAACAAACTGATCACTCGGCTCCAAGCTTGTACCGAGATGAAGAGGAAGAGCAAAGGGCAACTAATTTTAGCCGACGTAGAAGTTAGTAGGATGAGAATGGGTCCACTAGGAGTTATATTAGTAAGAGAGGATTGAAGAAACTGCGAAGTGCAGAGATTGGGCAAGCCGTTAGTATCCAAGTTGGCGTGCAATAATGAGATGAGACTCGAAGAGTTCGTCAAGGGGATCAAGGCATACTTTCGGTTGGAGGGGGGGGAAATGGTAAAGAATTCCTTGACCCTTCTAGTGAAGGGACAACCTACCCTTTGGCATGATAGTAGGAATGGACTAGGAAGAGGAAGTGGAAGTGGATGTCAAGAAGGGCGAACACAAGTGCTGGTGCCCAGAAGCGGAGGTAGCAAGAAAAAAATTAGGTTGTACCATGAGTCCGAACCCCAATCCGCTCTATCTTTTTGTTGCACGAGTCACTTGCGTTTGCCCGACACGTGGTGAAAGAGAAAGTGATTGACCAAGTGGTCTTGACATATGATGGACCGCTGAAAAAGGGCAAAATATAGTAAGGAGAGGTACCACCCCGGATTAGTTCAATCTGAAAGAGTTTGCGGACGTAGGAGAAGCCCCAAGCGGAGTAGTAGATAGGGAAATTAAGCACCAAATTGAGATCGAGCTTGGGAGCAAGATTTTGAAAGGGTCTATTTATCAGATGCCTCACCGCTAGCCAAAAGAGTTGAGGAATTTGTTAGACGAGGTAGTAGAAAAAAAGGGTGGATCAAGCCTAGCTTGTCACCATAAGGCGCGCCGCTCCTGTTTGTCCCCAAGAAGGAAGGTGAGTTGCGAATTTGCATAGAGTACAGAGGACTGAACGCAGTTATTGTAAAGGATGTTGAGGCACTACCGCAAATAGAAGATCTGTTGAGGTAGAACTTGAAAACCAGCACAAGACAACTTCCAAACGAGGTACGAACATTATGAGTTTGTAGTGATGCTGGTTGGGTGGACCAATGCCCCTGCTACTTTCCAAAGATGCATGAATGATCAATTTAGAGTGGTTAGATCGCTTTGTAGTTGCATATTTAAGATGGCATTCTGATTTTTAGTGAGAGGCTTGAGGAGCACCAGGAACATCTGCAGTTAGTACTTAGTATGTCCAGAGAAGCAGAGTTTAGACCAAATCCAAAAAAATATGAATGGGCCAAGTGGCAGGTTCTGTATCTAGGACATGTGGTGGATGGGGATGGAGTGAGGCCGGAGGATGCAATAATAGCAACAATTTGGGATTGGCCCACACCACATACATTAACCGAACTGCGGTCATTCTGAGGATAAGCCAACTACTACCGAAAGTTAAAGAAACTTCACAACTATTGCAGGCCCGTTATGGAGGTTGCTGAAGAAAGTAGTCAGGCTGTGGGACAAAAACTGCGAGTACCCTGTTCTAAAGATAGCTGACCTATCTTTACCATTTGTTGTGACTACAGACACAAGTTAGTATGGTGTAGGTGTTTTGCTATAGCAAAACGATGGGAACGGTTACATGGTCGTATAATTCATGTTTGGACGTTTGCCTTGCGAGAAGGTAACGTACGAGAGAGAATTGTACGCATCGAGGGAAGCCTTAGTTCACTGCGGCATTACTTGCTGGGGAGACATTTCATGGTCTACTTAGATCACGAGACCCTGCGCTGGTTGAAAACGCAGGCCCAAATGACCACCAAGTTGGGTAGATGGCCATTCAAGATAGATGAATTTGACTTTGAACTGAAGCTAGCAAAGGGGAAGTATAATGTAGTTACTGACACGTTGTCTAGGAGAGCCTGGGTTTCTGGTGCAATAGTCACTTACCTCGTTGCAGGCCAAGAGTTGTAGCTAAAGATTAAACCGCCAGTACACAATTGGGCCTGGAGGAGCTGCACTGCGTGCCAAGCTTTTTTGAACCACCAGCGGTGCACTTTTCTTTTTTGGCTGGCGCCGCCAACCATCATGGTCCGGTAGGCCTGCAAAAATGAGTAGGTGACAAACATTTTTCCACAAGGCAAGGGTCGAGTACTAGCAGTTCTTGCTCTGCTGACCTGTACCTACAAAACATCATAGGTAAGATAAAAGTAGCCCCCCATGAAGTCCCAGAGTACAGGATGGTTGTGTGCTCACTATTTAAAAGGACTCACAATTAGGACAGACTATGTATCCCAAGAGATGAGGAAATTCGCAGTTTAATTTTAGGAGAATGCCATGATACAGAGGGTCATTTTGGACAGAGAAAAAAGTTTGCTAATTTGCTGCAATCGTACGTGTGGCCCGACAAGTGACTGCATTCTCTATATTCGTAGCTGTAATGTGTGTCAAAGGAACAAGAGCACCACACAGCCCCACTAGGACTTCTAAACTCCTTACCTATTCGGGCAAGACTCGGAGAATTCGTATCTATTGACTTCATGGACACAAAGGTCAAAAGCAGGAAAGAGAAGAGCCAATTAATGGTCGTAGGCGATAGATTTAGTGAATTTATCGTTTTTATGCCGTTGATGCCTGAAGTAAAGACAAAATTAGTGATTTGGGAGTTCTTCAACCACTGGGTGAAGGACAACGACCAACGTTTGACGATAGTCAGTGATAGAGACGTTAGGTTGGTGGGAGAACGATGGCAACAATTCATAAAGGTGTATGGGTCAAAGCTGACCATGTCATCCGGTAGACGCTCGGAAAAGAATGGGCAAACAAAACAGATGTCCAACTTTTCATACCTTTGAAGAACTTCCAGTCATCAAAGAAACAAATAACAACATTGAAATTCAAACATAATTGTTGCTATTTTCCTGTTACTACCTCCGATCTTGTTTTTGCCGAGCCTGAATTTTACTGTGTACCGAGTTTTGCTGAGCCTGAATTTTACTGTGCACTGAGTTTTGCCGAGCCTGGGCAGTTGCATCTGCGAAAGAACATAAAAATTGGGTTAGGCCGACACCCGGTCCAGACGGACCGGGGTAGACGGACGGGGGGGGTCCGTCGGACAAAACCAGACGAGCCAAAAAACGTCCCAGGATTTTTTTTATTTTTTTGTTGAAGATGGGGTTGGAGTGCGCTCGCTGAGAGGAGCCCGAATCCGGAGAGAAGCTTGTGAAAGGCATCTGTGTTGGGGGGTGGGGGTGGGGATGGGGGGTAGGGGAGTTTGAGAGGGAGGGGGGGGGGGGTGGCAAGGGGGTAAAAGGGTGTGTTGCAGCAGCTAGTTCGTTGAGGGGAGGGGTTAGATGCGAAGGAAGAAGAAGAAAGGAGAAGAAGAAGAAGAAGAAAGGAGCAGATTGATAAAAAATAGGCTGATGACCACTCCAGGAAACGAAGTCATATGGCGGGAGATTTGAGGTGCAAAGTCTCTCTCTCTCTCTCTCTCTGTCTATCTCTCTCTCTCTGTGCCTCTCTCTCTCTGTCTCTCTCTTCTCTCTCTCTCTCTCTCACACACACACACACACACACACACACACACAAACACTTGGGCATGCTGATCTCATCCTGGATCAGTGTCGCGGCCCTCGTCCTCATATGGTTGTTCGCTGCAGTCAGCTGATTTCGGGTCATCCTCCTCCACCGTCTAGCGCTTGCGGCGCTGTTTCTTTTTTTAGCCGGTGTAGTGGTGGCGTCGGTCTTTGGCTTTCGAGGTCTGCCACGAGGACGTTTCGGCTGTGCAGGAGTGTCCTGTGATGGCTCCTTTCTCTTCCTGCCCACTCGGCTCACCCATAGGTTGTCATGCTGGACAACCTCCTTCATTGAGGGGAATCCCGATATCTTCTCCTTGGATTGCGGAATCTCCGCTGGCAGAGGCCTGCGTGTGTAGACTGCTGTCGCTGTGGGATGGGGATCGTCTTCGCGGGCCGTATCGACCTGGCCATGCTGCACCTCCTGCTGTGCCAATCCATCCCCCTCCTCTTCCTGCCGCATTTCCTCTTCCTCCCTGCCTTGCACCGTACCTTCCTCCTCTTCTTGGTGCTCCATCTCCTCACCATGCCCTCTGCCTCTTCTTCCTGCTCTGCTTGGTGCTCCTCCTCCTCCTCCTCCTCCTCCTCCTCTCCATCTTCCACAACCTCCAATGAGCGATTGACCTGCTGTTGATGCTCCCTGGATTGTTCGAGACCTCTCTCGATCTCTCTGCGGGTCGGGATAGCTGCACAACGGGCCTCCTCCTCCATCATATGTTTGTTGACGAGTTCGATCTCCCGGTCAGCCATAGCCTTGGCACGGTTCACATCCTCCTCATTTGTGTCCACCCTGGTTTGCAGCAACGTCTCAACATCCGTATCTAGTCGTGCGAACTCGACATAAAATTGCGGATTGTGCGGTGCTGTTTCCCATACCCCGGGCTCCATCACTGCTGGGCGTGGCTCTTCTCTGCGCTGTCGTCCGGTCTGCCTCTTTTCAACGTACGTCGTGCCCGAGACGGCCGGCTCCGGTCGTAACTTGAAATCAGAGTCATCATTGACCTCCTCTTCGGTGCCACTTGAGTCCTGCGACAATCCACACTTCCCCTTCCACAAGTCGTTATCCAAATCATTGTCGCCCGTGAGCTCTTCGTCCTCGTCCTCGTCCTCGTCCTCGAGATTTTTTGGAACCCTTTCCTTTGGAGTCTTTGTGAGCCTCCATTCCCGTACAAGCTCCTCCTCTGTCTTCTCATCCTCATCCTCGGGCCACTTCGACCCGTTGTTCTCTTCAGGCTCCGGGACGGGCTCAACGGAGTCACACCACGAGTCCACAAATCCGCTGTTCTTAGTCTTTGGAACATGCAATAGCTGCATGTTCCAGTGGATGTACACTAGCTTCGCCAAGCTTTCTGGCGACAACTTGTTCCTTCGTTTGGAGTGGACGAAGTCCATGGAAGCCCAATTCCTCTCCGTCGGCGATGCGGTGCTCCACATGCCCATAACCTTGATCGCAATCTTCTGCAATTCGGGCATGTCGCCACCGTGTGCTGCCCACCATTCTGACGGTGTCTTCTTGTCAACATCCAACTTCGTTGTGGGGTCCCACGTCTTCGTGTCATTCCTTTTCGGGCCGTTCCTTGTGGGCTTGTAGTGGAACTCATTCATGTCACCCCAAATCTCAATGTGCGCTGGCCTTTTCCATTCACCTCCAACCTGCCTCGAGAGAAAATGCATGGCATTCTGCACAAACGCACTGTCTTGGTCATGCAGCCACCTTGGGCCTCTTCTGAGCGGGTCCAAAGAAAGGTTGCTGCGTGGACGGGCTGCTGCATCATCTTCATGCGATCTCTGACTTTCTCCATTATGCTCGCCCACTGCTCCACCGTAAGAACGACATGACCAAACTTCCTCTCTATCATGTCATCATACTCAACAAGGTTTGTAGGACCAGTACCGTCCTGATCCATCCGCCTCAAAAGGTTGAACACGGACTCCATCACCTCAACCACCTTCTTCAACCCCATCCACCACTCGTCACTCCTCAATGTGAAGTACACCAGATCCGATCTAGCCCTCAACTTCGACGTCGACCACCGGATCGATTTCTGACCGTTAACCATGTCCTTCAACACCGCCCTCCTGTCGTAAGCCCTTTCCAACAGTTGGTAGACTGACCCAAAGCGCACCTCCGTGGGCCGAAGAAGAGACAACGAATCATCCACTGTCATCATCAGACTGTGTGTGCTATGGTGATTTCTGATGAACTTGACGATTGTGTGGCCCCTCTTGACGGTGTTCTTCACCCAATCGAGCTTGCCGAGGACAAGTAAAAGAAGGCTGCAGCAATGCGAAGCGCAAGGAACCAACGCGATCCTTGCTATCTCCTTGTCGGTCCGTCGCTCCAAAATCTGAGTCACCTTTTGTTGACCGCCGCATTGCTGGTGTAAATCGCATTGATTCGATGCAGTCTGATTTCCCTCATGATCTGCTCCTACAATTTTGCCAATGCAGGTCCCGTCTTCTTCCTCCCCGACATTGACACCGTCGCCACCAAAACTGCCCCATCCACCCCAGCTGCCAAGAAGTTCATCACATACCGCTCCCGAGGATCACTCGATCTGTAATGAAAGTACACCCGCTCACATCCCAGCAAGTCGTTCACGGCTCCACTGTCTTCTGCGCATGCATGCAGACGATGTGCAACATTACGGTCCTCGTGTGCGTGAAGGAGGGCAGTTTCACGAGCGGTCTTGAGTTTGCCACCTGCAGTTACACTTCATGGAGTTTCTTTGTGGTTTCGAAGTTCAAGAAGTTGAACGGGATCCCAACACGAAACATGGCCTCCGCCCATGCAATGTCAAGTTTCTTCTGCGCGTCGTTGTCCACCCACCTCCTTATTGTTGACTGCTGCAATGAGGACAGTCGTGTGTTTGACCCCGGTGCCTCACCCCCCCCGCCTCCAAAGCATTCTCCTTGTGCAATTTCCGTCTGAACAACCCCCCCTTCTAGAATCCCGTGTAGTTGCCTGTAATTCTTCAGCATGTACCTCATGTTTTTGTCAGCCGACTGCACTTTCCCCCCGGAGGTGATGAGCTCATTCATGATCTCCCCTGTTTGCAATGGACAGGGCTTTTGCGGCTTCAGGTAATGTTCCACCGTTCTTGAGCACGTGCCCCTCCAAATCTGCGTGCACAACCGAAACCTCACACAATACTCGCCTCTCCCTTTGTCCCCGGCCTCCTGACCCTGTTCCGCGTACTTCCACACAGGCTTCTCCCTTTGCAACTTGTCCTGCCTCACCTTGTCCTGTGGAACGGAAAGTGAAGGGTCCATTGCAGGCGTGGGGTCTCTGGAGGTCACTCTCGATGCGGGTGTAGTGGAGGTGCTTGCGACTTTTCCTTTTCCTTTGTCTGCTGCCGTTTTGCCTCTCCTCCTTCCACACCCGCCACTCCCCCCTCCAATGTCCTTGCCACGCCCCTCCATAGTGCCGTGGAAGTAGAGGATGCGAGGACCAACATTGAGGGGAAAAAGAAAGTGAAATGAAGAAGAAGAAGAACGAGAAGCAAAGGAAGAAGAATTAGTAAGAGAAGAAGAACAAGAAGTAGAAGAAGAAGAACGAAAGAAGAAGAAGAAAAACAAAAAGAAGAAGAAGAAGAAGTCAGTGCGGTTGTGAATGGGTCTGGTGTCTGCCTGTTTACGTCCTTCTTTGGGGCAGGGAAAAAAAAGCGAACGGGAGAAAGCGGGCAGATATGGCAGGCGGTACAATATGGTTGGAGGATGTGCGAGATGGTGGGCGGTAAGATATGGAGGAGGAAAAAGACGAGGAGGGAAGAAGAAGACGAGAGGAGGAGGAGGGAAGAAGAAGAAAGGAGGAGGAGGAGGAAGACGTAGAGGAGGAGGGAAGGAGGAGGAGAGGAGGAGGAGAAAAATGATGGAGACTTGAAAAACGAAACAGGCGAAAGGAGGAGGAGGAGGAGGAGAGAAGAACACGGAGGAGGAAGAGTTGGAGGAGGAGGAAGAAGAGGAAGATCAAGAAAGAAGATGATGAAAGGAGGAGGAGGAGGAGGAGGAGGAGGAGGAGGAGGAGGAGGGGAGAAGGACAAGACGAAAGGAGGGGGAGGAGGAGGAGGGAAGAAGAAGACGAAGGGAGGAGGAGGAGAGAAGGATAAGACGAGGAGGAGGAGGAGGAGATAAGAAAAAGAAGACGAGAGGAGGAGGACCTGCCGGTTTTGTATGGCGATGACGGAAGAAAAAAGAGCACGACGAAGGAGGAGGAGGAGGATGAGCAAAGAAGAGGAGAGAGAGAGAGAGAGAGAGAGAGAGAGAGAGAGAGAGAGAGAGAGAGAGANACAAGATAGGGGGGTCCCTCGCACCTCACTCACCGGGGGGGGGAGAGAGAGAGAGAGAGAGAGAGAGAGAGAGAGAGAGACACGTGGCACTTCGCCTACTAAAGAAAACCAATGAAATAGGAAGGAGGAGGAGATGGATGAGGAGGAGAGAAGAAGACAAAGGGAGGAGGGGGAGGAGGAGGAGGAGGAGGAGGAGAGAAGAAGACGAAAGGAGGAGGAGGAGAGAAGAAGACGAAAGGAGGAGGAGGAGGAAAGAAGAAGACGAAAGGAGGAGGAGGAGAGAAGAAGACGAAAGGAGGAGGAGGAGGAGAGAAGAAGAGGAAAGGAGGAGGAGGAGGAGGAGAAAGGAGGAGGAGAGAAGAAGACGAAAGGAGGAGGAGGAGGAGGAGAAAGGAGGAGGAGAGAAGAAGACGAAAGGAGGAGGAGGAGAAAGGAGGAGGAGGAGAGAAGAAGAGCAAGGGAGGAGGAGGAGGATGAGGGGGAGAGAACAAGGCGAAAGGAGGAAAGAAGAAAAAAAAGACGAGAGGAGGAGAGGAGGAGGACCTGCCAGTTTTGTATGGTGATGACGGAAAAAAAAAAGAGGGGGAAGGAGGAGGGGAGAGAGAGAGAGAGAGAGAGAGAGAGAGAGAGAGAGAGAGAGAGAGAGAGAGAGAGAGAGAGAGAGAGAGAGAGAAAGCAACACGTGGCATTTTTAAGCGCACTGCTGTTGCCACGTGGCACTTCGCCTACTGAAGAAAACCAATGAAATAGGGAAGAGGAGGAGGAGGGGATGTGGAGGAGGAGAGAAGAAAAAGAAGACGAGAGTAGGAGAGGGGGATGTGGAGGAGGAGAGAAGAAAAAGAAGACGAGAGTAGGAGAGGAGGAGGAGGACCTCCCGGTTTTGTATGACGTTGACGAAAAGGGAAAAAAAAAAAAAGGAGGGGGAGGAGAGAAGAAGAAGAAGAAGAGAGAGAGAGAGAGAGAGAGAGAGAGAGAGAGAGAGAGAGAGAGAGAGAGAGAGAGAGAGAGAGAGAGAGAGAGAGAGAAGAATCCTGACACGTGGCGGTTCTCAGAGTGTTGCTGCTGCCATGTGGCACTTCGCCTACTAAAGAAATCCAATGAAATAGGGAGGAGGAGGAGAAAGGCGGAGGGCGAGGAGGTGGAGGAGGAGAGAAGAAGACGAAGGGAGGAGGAGGAGGAAAGAAGAAGACGAAAGGAGGAGGACGAGGACGAGGAGAGAAGAAGAGGAAACGAGGAGGAGGAGAGAAGAAGAAAGGAGGAGGAGGTGGAGGAGGAGGAGGAGAGAAGGAGACGAAAGGAGGACGAGGACGAGGAGGAGAGAAGAAGACGAAAGGAGGAGGAGGAGAGAAGAAGACGAAAGGAGGAGGAGGAGAGAAGAAGACGAAAGGAGGAGGAGGAGAGAAGAAGACGAAAGGAGGAGGAGGACGAGGACAAGGAGGACAGAAGAAGACGAAAGGAGGAGGAGGAGGAGGAGGAGAGAAGAAGAAAGGAGGAGGAGGAGGAGGAGGAGGAGGAGGAGGAGGAGAGAAGAAGAAAGGAGGAGGACGAAAGGAGGAGGACGAGGACGAGGACGAGGAGGAGAGAAGAAGACGAAAGGAGGAGAAGAAGAGGAGGAAAAGAGGAGGTGGAGATTAGAAGAAGACCAAAGGAGGAGGAGGAGGAGGAGGAGGAGGAGGAGGAGGAGAGGAAGGAGAAGAAGAAGAAGAGGAAGGAAGGAGGTGGCTGGGGATTCACCATGCTGGCGACAACAGCTTGACGGGCGGTGACCACGGGGGTTGCTCGACGAGGCAGCTCGACAGGGAGCGACGATGGATGGGCTTCCTTCCAGATGGCAGCAACGACGACAAGACGGCGAAAGCAATGGCTTCGAGATGGCAGCAATGAGATGGCAGCTGTCTGCCCACGGTTCGAAACGGCAGCAACGGCGGGCTTCCAGATGGCAGCAACGGCTTCGAGACGGCGACGATGGGGAGGGCTGCTCGACGGGCAGCTCGACGATGTGCAACGACGACGGGTGGGCAAATGTGGAGAGCTGCTCGACGGCAGTGAAGCGGGGAATACCGCGTTCGAATTCAAACGAGGCGTCGCAGGAGACTAAGGGAGGGAAGCGAGCTGCGTCGTAGGTGACCAGGGGGCGGCGGTGAATCAAAACCGGCGAAGTGTAGAGACTAGGGGGCGGCTGTGAAGCGAAAGCGGCGTTGTAGGCGACCAGGCGATGTAGTGAAGTGTACCTTTGGGGGCGGGGAGGCTGCCGCTGGCCAAAAAAGGCCTCTCCCCCCCCCCTCGCGAAATTGCGCTGGGCCCGCCCGGCCCCAAACCGGGGGACCCAACCGGCCGGGCCGCCCGGTACCCCTGCCGGACAAAGGCTGTGCCGCCGGGCGGCCCGGATTTTAACACAGCATAAAAATGAAAAAAAAAGGGAAAAAAAAAGGACTTCCCTAACGCCGCGATATCCATCAGATGCATTCTATGAGGTGCCAGTGTGACTGCGCCGTCAGTGAGGGCGTCTGTCCGCTGAACAAGAAACAAAGAAGGAAAAAAAAAAGCATTCTTTGTGCTGTGATTGCGGTCAGATACAGAAAGCTACAGTACTAGTGTGAGTATGAGGACGCGAGGCAGTTAGCTGCCGGCGGTGGAATCCGCCCTGCCTCACTGGCAGGGCACGTAAGGAAACAAAAACAACAAAAACAAAAACGAAAACATCAGCCATCAGTTTTCCATATGTGCTGGCGAGATACATTCCTCAAAGCACTGGTATGACTTCCACGTCCGTGAGGGCCTTCCCCAACGTTGCTGGATTCAAACTCTCTAGTTTTTCCCTTTTTTTTCCTTCTTTTTTTTTGTTTTTAGAAAAGGCTGCCGTGCCTGCCCCCAGGCGTCAGACTCTGACGAGTAGGCTACTAGATGGACTGCGCGTTTGCCTGTGAAAGGTAGTGGTGGTTTAATTGAAGTAAAGAAAGTAGTCCGTTTTTCTGACTTATACTGCATTGCTCCCAAATTGGGGCCAACGATCACCGATGTCTCTTAATGGACGTGGACATAGTTTATATAAGTTGGCAAAAGAAAAGCCCCGGATATGATGTCTCTTAATGGACGTGGACATAGTTTATATAAGTTGGCAAAAGAAAAGCCCCGGATATGCACTCCGCGGATGCACGTTGCGTATGTTAATAATGATTAGTCTCCATCAGAGAATGTGGTACTTAACCAGTGCGCTTGCCTGCAAACAAGCATGAATGCCATTCACACAAAACAGAAGGCAGATGGAAAACAAACTGTTGCAGCAAGTACTCCGTATGTTAGATCTGGCCAGCTGAAGGTAGTGAGTGCGTACAACTCTGTGCATTTGGCAACCTCACGCACACTGAACGAGTTGCACAAAGGATGGAGACCTAGGAGGCGGATTGACTGCCTGAATCCCGACCAGATGCAGAGGCTTCCACCCAGCACGAGAGAGTACGCCTTACAGTATGAGAAAGAGTTGCAAGAGGTAGCAGAAAACATCCGAAACGCTCAGCACGAGATGATAGAACAGGCAAATAAACGTCGCAGGCTATCTGAGTTCTCTGTTGGGGATTTTGTCTCGGTAAGACTTTCTGCCAGAAGAAGGGATTTCTCAGAAGTTGTTTCCTGCTTACTGAGGGCCATGGGAGGTCATGGACGTAATAGGAGGTCCAGGTCTATCGTACATGAATGGCATCCCTCACCATCTGCACACCTACCCGGATTTCCGTGCTTTGAATTTGCCACCTTGTGTCAGTAACAATGGCTTTCCCTCATGCAGATCCATGATACCACCAGGCATGGATGGGAGATATGATATAGACTGAACTGTAGACAAAGATGTGTCCAGGTCTGGGAGGAGTGGAAGACCGCAGCAGCAGTTCAAAGTCTAGTTCCAGTACTTGGAACCAGAGGATGACCTGTGGTACATAAAGAACGAGTTAAAGGAGACTGCCCCTAACATCGTATCCTACTATGAGAGGGCTAGGAGGGGAGTCAACATTGCAGATAGGTAAGAAAAGTTGGACCTTTCTCGGTGCACCTCAAAATTAGGACGGCAGGAGTGAAAGGATCTCACACTGTGTCAGTGTCCTGAGTCCCAGTCCCAGGATCCCAGTTAGTCCCAGTCCCGTATGAAGGCAGTCCCAGTGGCCAAATCGTCGATTCGGAGTCCCTTAGGTCTGGAACGGTCCGATAGTCGAAGCGTCTTAGGTCGTTAGTAGTCTGACCTGGTACCCGACAGAAAAAGTCCAAACTCCCCAAGTCCAAGTTTGCAGCATCATCCTGGGAAAGTCTGTTCAGTTCCGGAACTGGCAAATGCAGCCGACAGGCCACGCTGACCGGTACTGATCTGAAGCCGACCAATATCTCACTCTGACTGCTATCTATATTTATAGATGCTACAGTGGTGCTTGATGTCACTTGTCAATTCGTGTGATGAGGAAGCCCTGCTGTAGCGCTTGTGCAATCTAGCGAGCTGGGCACAGTTGGAGACTGAGGAAGGAGAAAGGCGATTGGGTGCCATAGCTAGGGTTGAGAAGACCACCATAGCTAGTAGGGGAGAGAGGGAGAGTGAGGCGAGTGCGTTCACAGAGTGAGTGTGAGCGATCCAAGCATAGAGAGTGAGAGATAGAAATGAAAAGAGAGCGCGAGAGAGAGAAGTGAGGCCGAGAGAGCAAAGTGTAGGCAAGAGAGAGATAGGGTTACCTGTTTGATGTTGCTGGAGACAACGGCCATAACTGCTTGTACTCGGAACTCAATTCTCGTATAATATCAAGTGCTTTGAGGTGTTTCCATAATTTGGTATTCCGGTGCTTGGATGAATGTGAGCTTTTGTTGTGGTGCCAGTTGCAATTGATTGTTGAATTCGAGTCGGTTCTTGGCAGCTGCTTTTTGTAAGTTGGTGGTAGATTACTGGCATGCATGTTTATAACTTTTTGTCCATTTTGTATGCAGCTAACATGTTGGATGCAATCCTGGGATTCATATACACTCCCTTATTTTACTGGGTAATGCTTGTCATTAAGTGTATGCGGGCAACAGAGGTTGACACACTAGTTGCTGTGATTGGTTGGCACACATTAGTAAACTAGTGAAATATGGTCTGGGAAGCACTTTGAAAGGCGCTCTCTGCACACACAGCGATGAAAATCTTGGAATTAAGACAATAAAATCAGGGACCAATAGGATGCTGGACCTGGTTTCCAGCAGGAGCGCTCCGGGCTTGTTTCGCATCGAAAATGTATTAAAGGGACGTTGGGCCCGTTTCCCAGCACGTGCTGCTCCCCACAAATAGATTAGAACCTTTTGTGTTAAAAAAAAATAAAAAAAATCACTGCGTTGCACTGAATGGTCCATCAACATTCTGTTGTTCGACTTGTTTCTGGATTCCAGTATTGAAAGGGTGAGAAACTCTATATGGTGGTGAAAACCCGGTCACCTACAGCCACTTTGCGGATAAGTTCAATTTTCAGAAAAGGGAAGTTTGAGGCCTAAGGCTGTGAGGTGGAAAGGATGCGGAGGCTATTTCTCTGGAGTCCTTCCCCCACGCCAGACAGTTATAGAAGCAGCGTGGGGCAGTTGACTTCATGCCAGGCTGGACTGCGACGTGCAACAGGGCCCGACAATGCCTTGTCACACATTGGCTCTCGACCAATGAGAGCGCCGGAAACAGCGCTCGCCACTTCGCATGGCTGGGAGGCTGTAACCAATTTGGTCCCATGCCACTTTCTGAATTCGGCCAGGACGCAGATAGTGGGCCTGGAAGCCAAGCTACTGGCAACCCATACATGAGTCCCAGGCTGGACGAAAGCAGCCAACACTTTCCATAAACTTGGCTGGCTAGAGCGCACATGGGCGCTGGGAATAAGGCTGCTGGGGGAGTCCAGACGTACTTCCGCCTAGAGAAGGATGGGAAGGTGGAGAAAGTTCTCCATTCACTGACTCTCCTCGTACAGGATGGCCTTCCTTTCGACATAGTGTTAGGAATGGATTGGGGAGAGGCAGCAGGGGCCACACTCCACTTGAGAGAGCATGAGTGTAGGCTCCCGAGGCCGTCAGGCGAGGTTAAGACTGCCCACCTGTTTCATGTGTCAGGTGTAGACAACACCTTGGCACATTGTTGTCTCAGTGCTCCCGCGTTCGCGCAGTTAGTAAAGAAGGAGCGATTAGAGGAACAGGTCTTCGTAGTTTATGTTAGACCTGTCACTGAGGCTAAGGAAGAGGTGACTTCCACAAATCCAACGATTGCCAAGTTGCTGGAAGAGTTCAAAAATTTGACTGAGTCGTCGACAGGAGTAGTGTTGCGACCCATCCAACACAGGATAGAGATAAAACGTGGCAGTAGAACTCCTAAGGGAGGATGTCCCCTAGAGAGTTAGAGGAGCTACGCAAGCAGTTGGACGAGCTCCTAGAGAGAGGTTGGATCAGGCCCAATTCGTCTCCTTCTGGAGCACCAGTTTTGTTTGTCCCCAAAAAGGAAGGAGAGTTGAGAATGTGTATAGACTACAGGGGTTTGAATGCTATTACAGTGAAGAATGTTGAGCCGCTGCCTAGGATAGACGATCTCTTTGATCGGGTGCAGGGTTGCGAGTATTTTTCTAAGATAGATCTAAAGTCCGGTTATCATCAGATAGAAGTCCATCCTGATGACCAGTACAAGACTGCGTTTCGGACTAGATATGGGCACTATGAGTTCATCGTGATGCCCTTTGGACTAACCAACGCGCCAGTTGTATGAATGATCTTTTCAAACCGTGGTTAGATAAGTTTGTAGTAGTATACTTGGATGATATATTAGTGTTTAGCAAGACCCTCCAAGAGCATCAGGGTCATTTGAGGCAGGTCTTGGAGAAGCTTAGAGAGGCTAACTTCAAGATCAACGTGAAGAAGTGCGAGTGGGCCAAGATGCAAGTCCTGTACTTGGGCCACGTACTAGACGGAGATGGCATTAAGCCAGAGGACAATAAGATAGCGGCAATTAGAGATTGGCCGACGCCCCGCACATTGACAGAGTTGTGGTCGTTCTTCGGCCTAACTAAGTACTATAGAAAGTTTGTGAGGAACTTTTCTACTATCGCCGCTCCCTTGCGCAGGTTGCTTAAAAAAGAGGCAATCTGGCAATGGGACAAAGACTGTACGTCTGCGCTAAAGAAGTTGAA